ACCCAAAAACCTAAAATAACCAACATAACCAACCTATTACTGTAATGTTTTGAGTTAAAGGAATATGAAAAGGCTAGAAAGCCCTTGAAGGTTTAGATGTAGGAATAAATTAAATGAGGGGTATAGTACTAATTGGATAAATAGTTGATAAATATAAATAGAAAAAAAAAAGAAAGAAAGAAGGATCTGAAAATTTAAAGAACAAACCGTGAGAGAGAAGGGAGGAAGAAGAAGAAGAAGAGAAAAGAAGGGAAAATAAGGGAAAAAGGAAGAGATTAGAAAGGAAATAGAAAGGAGTTGGAGGAAATAAGTAAAAAGGTAAAATTATGTATAAATATGTGTTAATTAAGCTTTAATTTCGGTTTTGATAAATGTTAGGGTTATGAAGTTTGTGTTTTGGGTTTAATTGATGAATTAAATTGAATGTTATAAGGTTAATTGTTATGGTATTTGATTATTTGGTTGATTTTGAGAGATTGAATTGAAAGATGATGATTTTGAGTTATGATTTTGTTTGAATATTGAATTTGTGTTAGAAATAAGTAAATAACAGTGGGTTTTCTATTGAAATTCTGGGTTGGAGGTGGAAGATGATGAAAATTCAATTTGGTCCCTCAATTTTGGAAAATTACAGTTTAGTCCCCAAACTTTGGAAAATTACAGATTGGTCCCTGGAGCATATTCTGAGATTTTGAACAGAATAACATATGAATTATGGGCAAAATTACTGTATAGTTATGAAATTTTAACACTTTCGATTTAGTCCTCCAATTTGACAAAAATTACCATTTGACCCTAAAATTTTGGGAAAATTCTAGAATGGTCCCTAGAGTATAATGAGATATTCTGGACAGAATTGAGGATTAATTATGGTCATAATTTCAGCATATTCATGGATTCATGACAAATTTTAGTTTGGTCCTCCATTTGATAAAAATTATAATTTGACCCTAAAAATATGAAAAATTTCCAGAATGGTCCCTGGAGCATAATTAGAGGTTCTATACAGAAATAAGGATGAATTATGAACATAATTCCATTATAGTCATGAATTTAGGATATGTTTAGTTTGGTCCTCCAATTAGACGAAAATTATAATTTGGCCCTAAAAATATGATAAATTCCATATTAGTCCCTAGCTGTGATGTTAGCTTTTTCAGATTGGTTTGATGAATAATTTAGGGTTATTTAATGAATTATTATTAATTTTATTATGGATTAGATTTCGGGAAAACCGTTAATTTTTAGGTTTTTAGGAAAATAACTAGTTTAGTCTAAAAATATATAGGGTTATGGAATAGACCCTTAGTTAAGTGTATTAAATATGTTATATGTTCTTTTGAGTCATTCTTGAATATGTCTCCTTTGTATTCAGATAATCCTGATATTCTACCGGCAGGACGTCAATATGATTTTCTTTGGTGTCTGCTTTTGATTTCTGTTTGCTTTCAGTATGTGTATATTGAACGTTATCTACTCATTGCGTTGTTGAACTCACACTCTCATTATTTATCCTTTTCAAGCTTATAGCTTGATAGCAGGTCACTTTTGTTCGACCTTTAGAACCTGCTCTTTTGATTGTAATTTGTACCTTCCTTTATGTCTAGTTAGTGCTCCAAAACTCTTGTATTAAGACAATTAAGTTATATTATAAAATTAGTTTGTTGTTACTGCTATATTGAACTCTGATTGATTTATTAAAGGATAAGTTTGTATATAAGTTTGGGTTCGCATAGGTATGGAACCTTGGAGGGGAACCTTGCCTATGTGCCGGTCATGGATCCGGGATTCAAGTCGTAACAATTACAATTCAACCAGTCACACTATAATAAACTAATTCATCACATATAATCAATTCATCAATTAATTTATCAATCTAACCCTATGTGATGCTTTGAAAATAAATGAGTAGGAAAAGACTACAAAGTCCCTGAAGGCTTAGAAGTAGGTATAAATGAATAAGAGGTATTGCGGTAATTCAACAAAACTTAATAATATAAATAGAAACAAAAAGGAAAGAGGGATTTGAAAATTGAAAGAGAGAATTGACAGGAGAGAAGGGATAAAGAAGAAGAAGAGAAAAGAGAGAAAGATAAGGGAAACATAAGGGAGTTGGAGAAAATAAGTTTAAAGGTAAGATTTAGGTTTTAAAGTGTATAATTATGTGTTCTTTGAGCTTTAAATTTCTATTTTGATGAATATTAGGGTTTTAAAGATTGTGTTTTGGGTTGATTGATGAATTGATTTCAATGTTATGGGTTGATTGTTGTGGGTAATGAGTTAATTAGTTAATTTTGAGAGATTATAGGTAAAGATGATGATTTTAAGTTATGATTTGTTTGAATGGTGAATTTGTGTTAGAAATCATGAGATAACAGTAGATAATCTATGAAAATCTTGGGTTTGAGGTTGAAGATGATAAAATTTCAATTTGGTCCCTCAATTTGTGAAAATTACGGTTTAGTCCCCAAACTTTAAAAAAATTATAGATTGGTCCCTGGAACATAATCCGAGATTCTGGATAGAATTAAAGATGAATTATGGGCAGGATTCCAGTATAGTTATGAATTTATAACACTTTCAATTTGGTCCTCTTATTTAACAAAAATTATAATTTGACCCTAAAAATTTGATAAAATTCCATAATGGTACCTGGAGCATAATTTGAGATTTTGGATAGAAATGACGATGAATTATGGATAGAATTCCACTATATTAATGAATTTATGATATTTTTAGTTTGGTCCTCCAATTTGATAAAGTTACAATTTGACCTTTAAAATATGATAAAATTCATATTGGTCCCTAGATGCAATATTAGCTTTTGCATATTGGTTTGATGAATAATTAAGGGTTATTTAGTGAATTATTACCAATTTATTTATTTATTTTATTATTGATTAGAAGATGGGAAAACCGTTTAATTTTAGGTTTTTGGAAAAATAACTAATTTAGTGTAAAAACATAAAGGGTTATGGAATATACCCTTAGATAAGTGTATTAAATAGATTATATGTTCTTTTGAGTCATTCTTAAATATGTCTTTTTTTTTCAAATAATTCTGATTTTCTACCAGTAGGACATCAGTATAATTTCCTTCGATATTTGCTTTTGAGTATTGTTTGCTTTCGAGTTAGGTGAATGGATAATTTTTTATATACATGAGAAATGTTATAAATATTTAAGTTGTTAATATGAATTGAATCATGCTTCTTGATAATACATACATGTTGATTACTATCCTTATTACGATAAAGCATGATCAATTGTTGAATCTGAATTCTTGATATGAACTAATGTATATTTTGAATTGACTTCTGAATTGATATCTCCTCATTTGATTGATGTCATGAGTTAAGCCTTCAGATATGAATATGTCTATTTGATTATGATTATAAACCTATGGTATGCCAGTCAGAATACCCATCCTAACAAAGTAATGTTAGCCTTTATGCATATCGCATCTGAACCCTAGTTGGTTGAGGGAGTCACTAACCTATGTGGACTGATCATCCCACAGTATGGAGCCTCATGCTTATTGCATTTTGATTTTCTAACAAGCTTTATCTTATGATATTCTTGTTATGGCCTATTTGAGAAACCTTCCTATAAAAATATTGAGCTATAATTGTATATATATTCATCATTTTTGTATTATCTCGTGTATGTGTGTGTGTATTACACGTTATCTACTCACTGAGTTGTTGAACTCACTCTCTCATTATTTATCTTTTCAGGCTTATATTTTGTTAGCATGTCACTTTTGTTGGACCTTCAGAACCTGTTTTTTTGTTGAAATTAGTTTTTTTTTTCTTGATGTCTAGTTAGTGCTCTACAACTATAAATTGTATTAACTCTTGTATTAAGATAATCAAATTATATATTATAAAGTTAATTTTGTTATTAATGTTGTGTTGAACTTTGATTGAGTTAGAATAAGTTTGTATGTAAGTTTGAGTTCATATAGGTATTGAATCTTGGAGAGAAACCTTGCCTATATGTCAATCATGGATCTAGGAATCAGGTCGTAACATCTTATAACATAAACTTCAAAACCCTAAATCATAACAAACCAAAATCAAACTAATTACCTCAACTACACATTAAAGAACAAGTCTTACCTTAAACAATTAGTTTATTTAATCATTTTCCTCAAACTTCCCCTCTCTTTTCTTCATTTTCTTCCATTGCCAGTTCTCTCTCTCAATCTCAGGCTTCTTCTTTTTTTTTTATTTTTATCTTTCTATTTATACTTATCAAGCTATTGGTTCAGTTACCACAATACCTCTAATTCATTTATACCTATTATCTAAGCCTCCAAGGGCATTGTTGTATTTTTTTATTAATTCTCTCTCCTTTTATTTCAAAACATATGATTTTTTTGAAACCCTTGCCCTATTATCCTTATATTTGGCATAAAAGAAACATATTAATGTTATTTTGGATACACAAGTTGTTTTTACAAAGGATGATGAACTTTAGCGAATCATAGTATATAAGCTAGATGACTAGATTCAGATTATACCTTAATTATCAAAGAGACATCACAACAACTTGATCATGATCTTTAGGAGCATTATTGGAGCCGCCTTGAATTATACTTGATGGGGTCAAGTTTTTCCAACCTAGAGAGAATTGACGGGGACACCAAACTAAAGATATTGTTTACACACTCGTATGATCACAAACGATGAATGGTAGCTCAAACCATTAAAAGATTGAGTTTTATCCTTGTTTTACTTTAATTAATTTGAACTTTTAATTGAGGTTTATTAATTAAGCTTTATTTGTTGGATTTAATTTAATTATTGTTGAATATTTTATTTAGTGAGTTATAAGTTTAATTGCTTGTTCTAGTTAAGATTTTAGTATTTATTTTTTATTTTTCTAAATGCCAAACAATTATTGATGAATTGAATAAAAATTACAAAGTTGTAGACTTTTCCAACCCCTATTCTTTCTTTTCTCTAGCTTCTTCTTCTTAGCTTCTTTTTTCTTCTTCAAATCTCTTTTGTCCATCATGTTTACCTCGTCAAGCCATGAAGCATCGCTTGTTCAACGACCATTGAGGATGGATTCACAGTCAGACAAGCAACATGAAGAAACATCATCTGATGATATAGGGATTGTTAAAACGTGATTCCTAGATGATTGATTGCTAACTGTAACTAAACCAATTCCCGCACCATGCAGTGGTATGTCAGGCAAAGTAGCATCTCCTTCCAAAAATTGTACCACTTGCCTCATGCCAGGTCTAGCTGCTGGAGTGCGATGGGTACAGAGCAGACCTAGCTTCAAAACCAGCTCCACTTCTTTCACCTCATAGTTAACGTTCAATCTAGGATCAACTGTCCCAAGAATGGCCCCTCTTTTCCAGCATTCAAGTACCCAGTCAACCAGAACAACCTCCTCAGGTGGTCTTTCTGACTCTACAGGCCTCCTTCCACAAACTACTTCAAGCATAAAAGTCCCAAAAGCGAATACATCACTGCTTGTTGTGGCCTTTCCTGTTCTAGTAATCTCTGGTGCAAGATATCCAACAGTTCCAACCACATTGGTTGTTTGAGGAGTAGATCCATGGTCATGAAACTTAGCGAGCCCGAAATCTCCTAGCCGTCCGTTAAGATCGGCATCTAATAGGACATTGCTTGCTTTCACATCTCTATGCAGAACAACTTGTTGCCACTCTTCATGGAGGTAGAGAAGAGCAGATCCTACTCCCCTGAGGATTTGATATCGCTGAGGCCAATCAAGGTTAGGCTTTTCATTGCAAAATAGGAACTTGTCGAGACTTCCATTAGGCATATAATCATACACTAAGAGAAGCTCTCCTTTCCGCCGGCAGTAGCCTAAGAGCTGTACCAAGTTCCTATGCCTTAGCCTCCCCATGCTGGCAATCTCAGCCACAAATTCTTTCATTCCTTGGTTTGAACCATGAGAGATTTTCTTAACTGCGATTTCCACCTTGGAAGAACGTAATTCTCCTCTGTAAACCCTTCCAAAACCTCCAGTTCCAAGGAGCTCTTTGTCTTTGAAACCTTTAGTTGCTTTATAAAGATCCTTATAGCGAAACCTTTGAGGACCATATTGCTGCTCCCAATCTTCACGTACTTCTTCATATTTATTCCTCATAATACACATAGTTGCAAAACTTGCTATGAGTAAAACAGATACTGTTATCAATGGGATCACGATTCGTAAATCTGGTTTGTTACTTGAATTTCTTTCAGGAGGAAGTGAAGGAAGCTTTGAATTGCCAAGACTCCGTGCCTGCCCACTTTTGTTGAAGCTCCACCCGAGAATATAATGGTGACTGGATACAGAGCCAGTGGATGAAGAGAAACCAACATACATAGAATCCAAAAGAACTAGAGAAAGATCAATAGTTGTAGACAAGAGAGGCTTTCGAGGTTTCGTGATGCTTACAGGAGCTAGTGTTACATTAAGTAGCTTATCCATTTCATCATAGTCTATCCACACCTGCATTGGATCTCCACTTATGAGCTGCAAGATCTCATTTCCTCCATGTTCAGAAAAGTATGATGCTGGAGCAGATAGAATGGATGTCAAATTGTTGACATCTATCCCAACATGATTGTCATTGATATCTCCAAATTCAGGGCTTCTTATAGCATCAAGCTCAATGGCAAGCAAATGGTTGGAAGACAAACCAATTGTGGTAGAATTAAAGAGTCCAAGATATTGAGTAGCAGTGGCACCATTGAACTCTGTAGATGGAGAGACAGTGAATGCAATGCCATGTCCGCCACGCATAGGTGACTCTGGAACCATGGCAAAGACAAAGTTGGTAGAGAATGAAAGGGACCTAGAATTGTTGGAGAGTGTATTGAAATGGAAGGGAAACGGGAAGAAAGCATGACCAATTTGCTGCTTAGAAGCGTTTGTCAGTTCCAACAAGCCGTTGGGGTGGATACTTGCAATGCCGTCAAGGCTTAGGTTGGCTCCCTTGAAGCCATTGTAGAAGAACTGATTCATCTCTTGAGCCAAGGCCAAGTGTTTTAAGGATATGAAAAGAGCTAGTACAAAATGGAGTGCTCTAAGTAATGCTGCCATAGAGAAAATAAGAGAGAAAGGATGATCTTTGCTTGTTCAGCTTTTTGAAAACTTTGGTGATATGAACCTTTAGCCCTTGCTGCATTCGCAATCGGACCCTTCAGCAGGATTATTGACATGCTTTAATCAGATGCAATGTCAACAACTTGGACTGGAGAAAAGTAATGACAATATAAGACTTTTGGTGAGTAAAGCTAGAATCAAGTTGCAATTGTTAAATTCCTGTGGAGGTCCAGGCAAATAATATTCTAGAACGAAAAAAATCATTCAAGGAAGAAGCACAAGAATATTTCAACTATATAATACTTCAGCACAGATACCCAACTTCAACTACATGTATATAATTGACATTCAGTGCTTAAGTATGTTCTACCGTATTAAGGAACAGAGGTTTGAGGATGAATTTGCAATTTGTCAACCAAAGCCAGGGAGCCAAGGCTGCTAGATTTTGAACACAAGTAAAACAGTGTTCTCTTAGCAAATAAATTGTGATATGAACATAGATTTTGGCAACTGGATGAAGATATGATAGTTTTGGTCGCTCTAAGCTTGATGCCAAAAATCTATTATTACTGCTCCTGCCTTTTTGGCCAAGTTCCTAACAACGCAGGCATCTGAAATCCAAAATTCAAAGCAGAATTGCGGTCTGCTTTGAATTTTCATAAACAATTATAGCAGACCAACAAGGGAAGTTTTGGTATTTCTTTGACTTATCCACATGTACATTAAATAAATAAATAAAATAGCAATGACCACATGATACTGACAGTTGCTCCTTTCCAAGTTCCAAATATAAGCTCAAACCATGCATAAAATAATATTTGTTTCCGAAATCATGCCTGATTACCAGGGATGCTGCGTCCAGTCACCCGTCGGTTTTGATGAATTCCTTTACAAGAATGTTGTTCAAAGCATCGTCAGGACTCGTTGTTTGGAAAGTAGGAAGTGCTTTATTTAATATTGAGGCATCACAAAACCATGTAAACAGACATCTGTGATAATTGATCGCAGTCCAAATGCCCCCTATCCACACCACTGTAATAGAAGTTGAGAAACTAATTTTCGGGAAGGGCATTTTACAGTGAATGCGGTTCTGGTTTCTGTGTTCATTTAAGATTACTGGTATATAATAATATAAATTATATTATAGAATTTTATTTAATAATTTAAATTTTTAGGTAAAATGGTTTTTTGATATGGTATCAAAACCTTAATAACTAAATAATTTCAAGTTTGAATCTTATCATTCCTATTTATTTGATAAAAATTAAACATAAAGTAATGTGAATCTATTTAAGTTTCAAGTCTAAAAAGCTTTCATTTAAAAAAATATATATTAAAAAATAATATAAATTATATTCTGAAACTTTATCTAATAACTTAAATTTTTAGATGAGATGGTCCTTCAGGGCTTATCATATCTGTCCATCATCAACTACAACTACGACTGTTAGTTTTTCTGTGTGTAAAACGAAAAGGAAGTACATAGCACTAATCATCCTGCCAGAAAGATCGAATCATGGCCCATCGCTATGATGTTCTCGTTTGAATATCTGCTGTGTAGTTTATAACAAGTATGGCAGCATTCATGAACTGTCTTTCTTAATTTAAAAGTGTGACATAATAAACATTTTGTCACGGTCACGGTCACCTGATATCAGTTGATAGATGCTCCTAAAACTGTAGTAAGAGAAAACAACTATCCATCGTAATCTCCAGAATTCCATTTCAGCCGCTTTGCCACTGATTTTAAGCTCACCAGCTGATCAAAAGTGAACCATTTGAGCTAAAGCCTATCAGGTGATACAACATTTCTAATTAAACGACCACTCTGATGATTAAATTTCAGAAGAGGAATAGGAAGAAATGTTACATTCAGTGCAGGGATCCACAAAATGCAATCTTTAGATAGTTATCGCTAATTCTAAGCAATTATTGCCACCTTCATTGGCAGCTATTTATTAACATACATAGAATTTGGTGCACTGAATACCAGAAACTTTCTTTAATATCTATTGAAATCACCTTTCAGTTGGCTCTATGTATTCTTCCATGATTTTCTTCTTCGGTAACTGCAACCACAAGATGTACAGTGAGAAAAGAACGATTCCTAATGTACATGACAAAAATCATACTGCCAATCTTAGCCTTGGCAGGTCAGGATAATCTTGTCACAACAGTAAATATGATAAATCATGTCACAACCTCCAATCCATTCTGATTTTGATTCAGCATTTATTTAACAAATTACAATATCCACCAATAATTCCAATCGATTGCGCTGCTAGAGAATGAAGGGGAAAAAAATGTCACCTTCATGAGCATCGGTTGATATGGTCATATCTGAGGATGAGTTCTTAGCTGAATGGAAAACTGTAGGTTGGGAGGACTCCTGGACCTGAAGAAGAGAATTTACAGCATCTCTCACGATGTCCACCACACTCACATCGCCAGCAGTTTTCCTTGGACTTGTTGCTTGTAATGTCACTTGAGAAAGGGCTCTGTCATCTTCTCCTGGCCCAGACATGTGCATTAAATACTCCTTCACTGAAACTCCTTTATCCCATTTTTTCTCTCCGGCACAGAAATGGTAACCAGATGCTGCAGCTTCTGGATCTCGGGATGGATCTGATGTAACTTGGTCTTGAGCTACTTTGGTTGGTCCTGCTACAGATGATGCTGCTCTACCTTCCTCCACAGGGTCTAATCCCGCTGCACCTGGTGCTTCAGGGGTTGAAATAGCGAGGCTTTGAATCTTGGAAGAAATGGCATGGGTAGCAATGGATACTGTGTTGTATGCTGGTGCCAGCTTCTCTGCCACTGTTTCAGTTAGTGTTTTAGGAGACTTCTCATTTTCTTGTTTCCCGCTCACAGTTTCAGTTATTGGCTTGTCTTCAGCACCACAGGTCACGCTACTCGGCAAAACATGCGTATCCGATATCACAGTTTCAGGGGTTGAAACAGCGAGGCTTTGAATCTTGGAAGCAATGGCATGGGTAGCAACGGATACTGTGTTGGATGCTGGTGCCAGCTTCTCTGACACGGTTTGAGTTAGTGTTTTGGGAGACTTCTCATTTTCTTGTTTCCCGCTCGCAGTTTCAGTTATTGGCTTGACTTCAGCAGCACAGGTCTCACTACTTGGCAAAACACGAGTCTCCGATATCACAGGAACTGCTCTTGGATGCTGTCTAGCGGTCTCTTTATACCCCTCAGGAGCCATCTCTGATTCATACACTGAGAGATCACATAGACGAGTTAATTAAATACACATTCATTCAGGCAAGAATTCCCAAGAACTTTTACTTCACATAAGATTTTATATTTTTTCTGCTATATACGAAGAATGAGACTGTGACTGAAGTTACTTGGGGCTCCTAGATATTCAGGATCTTCTTCATCTTCAACATAATCCAGGCTGACACCCCATGAAGGAGTGGTGTTACCGTCGTCATTATGTTTCTTCTTGCTGAGGGTGCTTCGCCATTTCCTGGCCTTCTCCTTCACTTTTGTAATAACTGATTTCTTTTGATTGGGGGACTGATCATACTCCAGCTCATGATCCTTACAAAAAGTTGGTGTGGTGTGTGGCGACCACCTTGTAACTTCCTCAGCTGCACATGCAAAACTCATAGGTCAGTAGTGATAGAGAATGAATTTCCATGACTTTGGAATCAAATACAGGCATTTTTTTTTAATAATAATTTACGTTGTAAAATAAATTAAAACACATTTATTTTCAATTTTCAATATCTGAAGAAAGAGTTGATTAATGAACTGAACATGGACAAATCCTAAAATTTTCTCCAGCTGCTGATAAGCTATAGCTTGACCATCTTCTTGTTATTCCCGTTGCCTATCGTATTCAAGTTCAAGCCTCCTAGGGAAAACAGAATCATTAACCTGTTCTTCTACCATGGAGGTTACATTATGGTTTATGGAATTACCTTGTAGAAGTTCTTCCACAGTTGGGGTTGTTGGATTTCCAGGCCTTTTACCATGTCCGTGTTTGACATCAAATGGAGTCATTGCTCCAGTACGTGATTGAGAGTGTGCCATAAATTCCTTCAGCCTTGAGTTTCTCTCCTAATGTCCATCCTTTGGTCTGCATCTTTGATCACAGAGAGGGAAATTTAAGGAGGGGGGTTAGCTCAAGTATCTCTTTCCGGAGTTCTTGCACAGGCAGTGAACAACAAAGAGCCGCATGTCACCTGGTAAAAGATAGACTTGTGGGCTCTGTTTTAACATGTGGCAAGAAGATCAATGCAGTTTAATTGATTGCAATTGTTAGCCACAGAAGGTTACCTCCTGAAATACCGAGTAGACTAAATCTGCGTAACTGTTTCCCCATTTTTAGTCATATGGCTTCGAAGAGGTATTTCCTCTGTTTCCCCTTTCGCAAAATACTAGCCATCATGGTCCAGAGTGAAAAACTCAGCTTCATATCACACTTAGAAATCCCCCTTTTTTTCAGTTCATATACAGGTTGTGAAACCCATCCTAACCCTGATCATCGCCATCAATTTAACTGCAGCCTGCTATGTCTCTGTTCTGACAAGGAAAACTAAAGAACTGTTTAGAACGAACAGACTACGTTGTCTCCACACAACTTTTATTACAAGTAAACCCTGAGGACATGAGCATCAAATCCAAAAACAGTAACCAAAGCATGAAGACCATCCACGTCACATTTATGAACAAGTAAATTCTTCACATTAACGACCTCTCTCATATCAAATTCACTTCAAATAACCACAAGCTTCTCTAGGAAAGAAAAAGAATCTATATTTCCATGTAAATTGTTATCCATTTATGATCCTCTAACATACCATAAGCTGTGTTTGCAGAGAACTCTCCATTCAAAGTAAATTTCCATATAAATATGTCCTCGCGGCCGTCAGAACCGCGAGGAGGAAACGTCGCTGCAATTTTCAGAATTAATTCAATAGGTAGGAATCTATCAAAGACTGACCACTCCCACTGGCTAGCATCACTAACAAACTGACAGACAGTCCGTTGAAGTTGCTCCTCAGGAACCAAATCAATAGCAAACTCAAGAAAGGATCACATTTATCAAGCCTGCAATGCTGCCAAACCGAGCTCCTTTTCCATCACCAAGACTCCAAGAAACACCTTCTGGCACCTTTGGATGAAGTCTACAAATAGTCTTCCATAAAGGAGACGAATCAGGCTTCGCTAACCACCCCAAATCAGAACCATCCTTTCTCATGTATTTATCCCTCAGCACATGAACCCAGGACTGATCATTCCCTTTCATCAAACCCCAAAACAAACTTTGTTAACAAAGCTTCGTTCATGGCTTCAAGATTTTTAAGACCCAAACCACCGTAACTCCTAGGCTTACATATTTTATCCCACTCTACCATATGAACCGTCCAGCATGCTCCTGATCTCCCCAAATGAAACGCTTACAAATCCTCTCAATATCCTCACAAGTAGATTTTGGAAGACCTTGCAGATTGCATTGTCTACAAAGGCAGGGCTTAAATGACCGATTGACAAAGAGCAACTCTTCGAGCCAATGAAAGCTTGTCCACCTTCCAACCAGCCAATCTCTGCTGTGCTTCATCAACAATATATCTTATAAGCGCTTTTTTTATCCTTCCATGAATCAGAGCCACCCCAAGATAACTCCTCGAGTCATTTGTTCTTGTAAAACCTTTTGCTCCTCCTGTCCAAAGTGGAGGAGGAAATGCAAGTGATTTGGCCATATTCAAACCATTCCCTAAAGTTTCAAAAGTTTAATGTTCCAAGAAATGTTAAATTTTCTTACATTTAACATTCTATAAATAGATAAATACAAATATCTTTAAAATCTCAAAATTATTTCATACAAAAAAACTAGTAAGTCCACACACCGAGCTCTCCCTTGCAGCTTCCTTTAAATAACTTCTATAAGTTTGACAAGGAACGACAGGTCGCTTGTTGGGCAGCAAGAATCCTCTATTGCCTCAAGCCCCAGGAAAGAAAGAAATGCACTGGAACTGGGATTTGAGAAGCCGAGGAGAAATCTGAAATGTGCCTGCGTCTTTCCCGTTACCAATTCAAGGGAACTTTAGCATTTTTTAAATCCCACCATAAGCTTCCCATCCTAATCATATCACGCCGTTCGTTTCGATCATCATCGGAAACTTATTTTCATCTCATCGAAACATACGGTCGTGATCGAGCATTACAGCAAGGGAAAAAACTTCATGCTCATCTCATCATTAACGGTTTAGCTCGTTTGACGCATTTTGCGTCCAAACTCATATCTTTCTATGTAGAAACTAAGCAGATATCTGACGCTCGCAAGTTGTTCGACAAAATTCCCGAGTCAAATATCCGCCGTTGGATTGTGCTCATTGGGGCCTATTCTCGTCGTGGGCTTATTCAAGAAGCTTTGAGTGTTTTCTATGAAATGCAAAAGCAGGGTTTCGGGGCCAACAAGTTTGTTATTCCTAGCGTACTCAAATGTTGTGGTCATGTGTATGATGTGCATACTGGGAGGATTTTGCACTCTGTGATTTTGAAGTATTCGATTGAATCGGATGTTTATGTTATTAGTTCATTGATCGATATGTACTCTAAATGTGGAGAAGTTGAAAAGGCACGGCGAGTGTTTGATAGGATGGTGGAGAAAGACTTGGTGGCTTTGAATGCCATGCTTTCGGGTTATGGTCAACATGGTTTTGCTAAAGAAGGATTTGCTTTGATGGATAAAATGGAAAAATTGGGTATCAAGCCTAATGTAATAACTTGGAATAGCTTGATTTCGGGGTTTGCACAAAAGGGTGATGATGCAATGGTTTCAAAGATGTTTGAATTGATGATCAGCAAGGGAGCGGAGCCTGATGTGATTTCTTGGACTTCGGTTATATCAGGGTTGGTGCAAAATTTTCGTAACGAGGCAGCTTTTGATGCATTTAAACAGATGTTGGGCCAGGGATTTCTTCCAACATCTGCTACAATTAGTACTGTTTTGGCTGCTTGCGCGACCATGGCTAATGTAAGGAGAGGGAGGGAGATACACGGCTATGCAGTGGTGATTAGAGTTGAAGATGATATATATGTAAGAAGTGCTCTTGTTGACATGTATGCCAAATGTGGTTTTATATCAGAAGCAAGTATGCTATTTTATATGATGCCTGAGAGGAATACGGTTACTTGGAATTCGATGATTTTTGGGTATGCAAATCATGGTTACTGTGATGAAGCAATTGAGCTTTTTGATCAAATGGAGAAATCAGAGGGAGATAAGCTCGATCACTTGACTTTCACGGCTGTCCTTACTGCTTGTAGTCATGCTGGAATGGTTGAACATGGACAAAGTTTGTTTCTCTTGATGCAACAGAAGTACAAGATTGTTCCAAGATTAGAGCATTATGCATGCATGGTGGATCTTCTTGGTAGGGCTGGAAATCTTAATGAGGCTTATGATGTGATTAAGAAAATGCCTGTTAAGCCTGATTTATTCGTGTGGGGAGCATTATTAGGGGCATGTAGGAATCATGGGGATATAGGTCTTGCCGAGGTAGCAGCTAGGCATTTGGCTGAGCTTGAGCCTGAGAATGCTGGGAATAATATGCTTATGTCAAATTTGTATGCTGATGCTGGTAGCTGGGAAAACGTATCAAGGTCTAAGAAGATGATGAAACGCAAAAGGCTGAAAAACTTTCCGGGGTGCAGTTGGATAGAGGAAGCCACCTGATATATAAGCATGATTAGAACAGCTATTGCTGATATATATAATATTCATGCAGAGTGGACCCTCCTTTTTTTCCAATTCTTTTTTGGTAGCTTGTAGTTATGCTGTGCAATTACATCTTGCCAAAGGCAATTGCATGATCATCAATGCTTGCCTCTCTTTTCCTTTAATTGATCCTAATACCCTCATCCTGTTAGTATGTTTTTGTTTATATTTTATTATTGGCCAACCTTTTTGATAGTCCTGCCACTTAAATGCTTCTTTAGTTGACGGATATTCATGCAAGAGCTCTTCGCTATATTGCTGCTGTTGCGGCTGAGAATGCAAGGAGATGATCCAAACCATTTATGTCTTTTGCTATCCAGGAAAACGAAATCATCACCCGATATTTTGGCCCCCGTATTTGCCCCTGTGGTTCCGCACAAGTAAGATGAGAAAGGAGTCAAAGGCTAGATTATTTTTTAAAGGATATTTTATTTAAAAATATATTAAAATAATATTTTTTAATTTTTAAAAATTATTTTTAATATCAATATATTAAAATAATCTAAAAATATAAAAAAATATATTAATTTAAAAATATATTTAAAGTAAAAAAATTAAATTTTTTTTAAAATATTTTTAAAACACAAAAATAAATAAAAAATTATAAATTCATATTCTCTTGTATTGAAAGTAAGTTGCCCCACCACCATTCCATTCTTGAATTGAAAAACAAAAGACTCTTCATTCGTCATCCTTCACCAAATTTTAGTGGGCACGTATCCTCTTTATTCTCCAAATCCTTTACCAGATTCTCCTCCCGTCAACTTTACAAAAATTTGCTTTTCAGGAAAAAAAAACAAAAAAAAAAAAAAAACTTGGATTAGAAGTTAAAACTATCCACCTTCCTTTTCTTAGCCTAAGTAGTTGCCATCGGCTAATGTTGGGTTGTTTAAAAGTATAGTAACAATTAATTTTTAAAATGTTTTTATTTTAAAATATATTAAAATAATATATATTTATTTAAAAAAAACATTTTTAATATTAATACATGGAAATAATAAAAAAGAATTAAAAAATTAATATTAAACAATTTTTTTTATAAAAGTTATGAAATATAAGTTACACCATAACCTCAAACAACAATGCTGTAAAACAAAATATAAGCGTTTTGGAAGTGTTAACCTTAAGTAATAACATCCAAAGGCAATTATGTCAGTAACAAATAAAAAAATTAAGATACTTAAATGAAAGTTGTAATATTGGTTGAAGATTCTTATACTCGGAATCTATACTTTTACATTAGATCGTTGCGGGGATTGTAATGCTGAAAAATTGGGTATTTAAAAATAAATATTAGGGAGAGTAACAACAATGTTAGATCAATAATAGAGGATGAAAGACACACAGTACTACAACACAATTTTTTTTTTTTAAGTTTGTTTATGGAGTTTGAGATGGGGTGATGTTTTCTATTGTTGTGTTCTTGAGTAGTAACTATTGCTGATTAAAAAATAATCTTGGTAAAACTTTTACCTCTAAAAGCAAATTACACATTCTTTTATTAATTCACACCAAATTAAGATAATTGAAGTTATATTTGTCATGTATGGTTTTTTGATATATTTCAACCATTCCATCTTAAATATCAAAACACAAATTGCAATAACTACATAAGAATTGCGTTGTCAATCTATAAATACAATCTATGTAAGTATTGCATGAAAGCAGCTTTTCTTCCCTTTCTTTCATTTGGGTTTAAAATAGAAACCACCGAGTGGAAACCCTAGATTTTAAAATTTTGGTCAGCAAAAAATTTGATTTTCTGGTTAAAACCACCCTCCCTTTTCGTCATCCCATGTCATTATGAGCTGCCAACATTTAGAACAAAATTTTGATTATCTAGTTCTTTCTCGTGATTATCCTGACTTTTGTTTGACATAAAAAAAAATTGGGGCAGCACAACTTGATATATATAATGCTTGATATTATGGTATAAGTTGTTTTTTAAAGTATTATTTGTTTGTTTAAAAATATATCAAACTAATATTTTTTTATTTTTAAAAACATTATTTTTAATATTATCAAATCAAAACAATTCAAATATACTAAAAGCCATTTGAATAAACAGACTCGTAGAACATTGCCACGTAAAAGTTAGGAATGCATATTAGTGGTGCAAAGGAAGACATGAGGAGCCTTGCTATAATTAAATCACATCTCACTTGGATGAGATTTATTTTAGCACTCTTACTAGCAGCAATGTCAAATCAACATTCCAAAAGAAAAATAAAATACAACAGCTAACAGAGACGCTTAAAAGAATTATAATGCACTTAGCATTATCATTAAAAAGAAAAGGAAAAGGAAAAGGAAAAGGAAAAGGAAAAGTAGAGAGAAGGGGGGAAGAAAGAGAGAGCAATCAAGCAGAAACCAGTGACATGTAACTTTCAGAATGCCTAGCCTTTCATTAAAAGAGAATTACATAAAACATCTCAATAGAAATCAGCAATTGAGCAATCAATTAGAAGAGGCATCCCTCACGACTTAAAAAAGTCTTCAGAATCAATGGAGATGGGTGATCCTGCACCTTCATTTTGATGTCATTGTATATCAATCATCCACACCGAACAAGTGGTTTCTTCTGTCAAAGTA